TTTTTCATATCCCAACTAGATTTCTATCGTAATCAGGCAACAATTTTATAGAAATATTAATTACGGAGATTCGGTGCCATATAAGGATGTTGTAGTATTATTCCGCTTTACGCTCCCACAAGACTCGTTTGAGGAAATGCCCTTGCATCGCTAAACAAAGCAATTCTAGCTTTATCATTTCTCATTAATTGCATATACGTCAGCGTACATAGATCGACAGATAGTGCATGTCTTGGATGCATTTTTGAAACGAGTAACGACGAAAAATGATTGCTCAAAAGCGAGCTTAAGAATAAATGATTCGTTATCAGAACAAACTCGAATATAATTTATTAGCAGTGTTAATATACTAAGTGACATATAAATCCGAACACCCAGTTTAAATGGTTTTATTTTAATAAAATTTTGTATAAGTACTTAATGAAGCATAATAAGTAAATGATAAAAATTTCAAAATGATTGCACTGCTTTAAAGCCCTTTGACCTTAAATGGATGCACCCTGATGTGCTACGCATTCTCCAACGCGCCTAGGCATGCTTCTGATCAGGTGGTCAATGTCCTCCTGTGGTATCTCATTCCAGGCAACCACCAACTCCTCTCGAAGTGCTTCTAGAGTCTGAGGAGGACGTTGCAAATTGAGCAATCTCCTACCCATCATATCCCACGCGTGCTCAATTGGGGATAAGTCGGGAGATCTTGGTGGCCATGGTAACAATGTGACATCATTATGTTGAAAGAAGTATATTGTGACTCTTGCAACATGTGGTCGGGCATTATCTTGTTGGAAAGTTGGATCTGCCAGGGTGTCAAGATAGGGTGAAAGATGGGGTTCTAGAACTTCGTGGATATAACGCTGCGCGTTCATGTTACCTCTGATGAAGATTAAAGGTGACCTGGAACCATAAGCTATAACACCCCAAACCATAACTCCAACAGTGTGATGAACATGAACATTACCCCTAATGTGTTTAATTTTTCCAATTAAATTAATAATAATTTTGCAAGTTGAACTCAAACATAGGAATTCCCGATTTTGAACACATTGATAAAACAGAAAATTATCCTTACGACTTACTGAGAATATTTGTTTATACATTAAGTTCAAATGTTCTCGTTTTGTATAGTTTTATTGCTGATTGCATAATTTCCTCGCTCCATTTTCCATATTTTGAACCCTTGCGAGAACAAAATACGCACTATTGAATTTTACTCACTAAAAATAATCCATATTTACGAGAAACGCCACCCCAACTAGCAGAAAGCCATTATTTGGGCATGAAGGCTTATCTAAGATTGTACAAAACTTACTGCATAAAACAGCTTGTCACAAATCAGCAAACATGAAGATTCACGAACGATCCTCAGCTGCAAGTGTTTGTCAGACATGTTTTGGCATCAAACAAGCTAAATAGACGACTTTAGAAATCTATAAGTTCGGGACGACTTTCGATTCAAAAATACAAGTTTATTGACTTCCCCATAAAGCAACATTCGAGGCTGACTAGATCTTCACTGTGCCAACCTCGACACCATTTGCACGATATAAACAAACACACGCTTCTCGGGACGGAAACATCCAGAAAAACGATCTGAACACTCTCGCGAAGCATCAATAGCATCTGTGAAACAACGTAAACTAGCAACAAATCGAAAGCTGAATTATTACTATAGAGATGTGCTTTTTTTCGAATCCGCGTAACGCTTAACTTGAATAGTGACGTACAGGGTTTGTCCGGAAAGTAATAGGACTGAGTCGATTTAAAAAAAATTATTGAGCCGATCGTTACAATTCTTTAAAAACTTGCAAAGTAGGCTCCTTCTGCGTCGATGCAGCGCGATTTCCAAGCATTGAAGGCGTTACGGAAGGCATTCTCCGGAATAGCCTTGAGAGCCGCGGTGCATGCTGCTTGGATCCCCTCTGTCGTCTCAAAATGCTTGCCTACTTGATATCTCGCTTATATTAAAGCTTTAGTGCAAGTATTTGGTACAAAAAAAGTCCTCTATAAAGGAAAGTCCAATCTGTATACGGCCAAGTCAATACCCTAAACTAGGGCCTCATTTTCAGATTGTCACCTTGTGCCTTTTATCTATATACCATGCATGGTATGGTTAAATTCGGCCAAACAAACCATTAAATGTGATTCACTCTTTTATTGGGAGCACCGCTGACTAACAATAATAAAAAGGATCAATGTACTTCAGTATCAACAAAATAATCCAGTTTTGCGAATAACCTATAAACAACAGATCTTGCGATTAAAGTATAATCGGTACTTTGTCTCAGTGTCGTATCAATAATGTTCTTAAACGTGTATATCGTAACCGGATGTGAATATGGATAGCGGAACAAGATCGTCGCTTTCATTGTCGCATGGATATATTTATGCCTGAAATTACATGTAGAAAAGTAAAATGAGTATATAATTACATACTTTCATGACAGGAGACAGTTAATAGCTTCTTACTTCGCTTGTGATGAAATTATGTATTACAATGCAAAATGTCTTGAACATAATGTGTATATGATGAAGTACGTAAGGTGCAATGGAAAAAAATTAAAAATAGACACACATGGTATTGTATGAGGATCTGAATGCCATCCAGCTTTTTAGTTTATCAGCGAAAAACTAAATCAGTAAAAAATATCAAAATACGTCGAGTAGGGTTAGAATTAAGTAAAAAGTAAAACGATTGCTTATTTAGTTGCGCCTCTGTTGTCGGTACTTTAGGGCATATTAAAGTAGTCCAAAAATAATTCTGAAACTCAGCTTCCGCAAGCCAAAGGTGTAAAAATACCAGCGCATTCGTTGTTTTAAGAGCTAACAGCTGACAACCTCGAGTGAATGAAAAAACGAAAAGTACAGGTCTACATAAATAGATCGCGCTCCTAGTATCTACTTCCAGCACATTGCTTTTGACATTTTAGTCACTGCATATCCACCCCTGTGCTTTGCAATCAAAACCCTAGATTAAAAAAAATGTGGCTCCTATCAACAATGTTTTGTCATTTCAAGAAAAAATCTCTGTATTTGGAACCTACTGTTTTGAAAGCCAAAGGTGGTGGTCGGTAAAAAGCTCACCGCTGACAATTGAGGAGATTTGTTCTTTGAGATTGGTAAGCCGACCCTTAGCGTAGTTCTAGATGTGACCTGCAGGGCTTTTACGTAAAGAAACTAAAAAAAGTCAAACGGCAAAAAAAAACGCCAAAATGTTAACTTATTGCCTAGATAATTTCTAGTGTGCAACTGGTGATAGCTGGAAGATGCAAGACAGTTCCCCGACATGCTTTGTTGGTTGCAGAATATCGAGAGAGTCTGTATAGTAGGGCTCATAAAACATGATATAACTCAAAAGCAAGCACAATTTGATGCAAATAGATATTTGTGACATAACCTCAAAATAGAGCGCTGACACGGAGAAGTAGAAAACTATGACAATCAAGGAGGCCATAAAGGCGCCCTACAATTGTAGGGACGACTGACGATACGGGCATTAGGCAACACGTATAGCTACGGATCGAGTCCTCAACAACATCTTGTAATGTCAAAACAAGCATAATGTCATTTTTACGTATATCCAAAATACCCCATGGGCTTGCGTTTACAGCTGAAAAATAATATCAAAAAATTAAACAGATAGCGATTTTTTATTTAGTAACTATCAGGAAATAGACAACTCAAAAGCCTAAAAAATCCCGCTATCGATCAAAGTAAATAGCGACAGATGTTGCGTGCTCCTCTGAAAATTATGCCAGGTAGCTGGTACTGAAAATAGCCGACAACCGACGTATCGCGTGTTTCACTCTCTCAATAGAACACTGCCAACGATTTTACTCTCAGCGTAGCCACCGTCCCGACTTTTCCAATCGAAATTTTAATTTACATCCCTCTAAAATCCGGCAAAAATGGCGTCAGCTGTCACCAGAGTGATACTGAGATGTGAGGATGCTCAAGACAACGAAAATTTAGGTATCTGTTCCGCTTCGCTTTCATTCGCTTTGCTTTTACTTTTTCGCTACTGCTTAACCTACAAACGCCTCGTTACGTCATAGCGGTAACTCGATATATGAAGGTTGTACACTCGGCTTCAATAGTTATGTCGCTCCTTGATGATTCATATTGTGAACAAGTCGTACGTACTCCTGAAATTCGATAATCACATTGCGTTTTACATAGTCCCTTAAGAAGACGAAACTCGTCATTGAAATTTTGTATGGTTTGCCCTATCTGTATTTTTTTTACCAGATTAGACCATGCCTTATCTTCATATCCTCGCATTCAGAAAAAAGGCAGCGCTTCGGCACCCTTTACCAATCACCTATTTGTATTTGTCTTCAAGTGCTCTAGTCCTCTAAATGCGTCTATTAATTTAACAAAATGCCGCTTAGAAAGCGTCGAAATTCAAAGTACATACTTACTGAGAAAGACGGAAAAAATCGAATTTTCCCAAAATCGTTTTAATTTTTTCCTGACTTTATTTGTAGCGATATTTTAAAATGAATGCACATTAACATTGCCACTTTTTCTCCTTTACAAGATGGCATAATTTGATATTACAATATCCTCTAGCATCAACATGGACGCCATTTTTGCAGAATTTTTCATTCTGATTCCAAAAATGTATAATACCTCATACATTAACATTGCTAAACCTTAGTTATTTCCAAAGAGCACAAGTTCCTAGGTAGGCCTTGAAATTATCAGATAGTTATTTGTAACGCGTACCAGATTTATTCCAAAATCAATTTAATTTTGTTTTTTGTTGTTATTGTTACTTATTGTCCTTTACAACAAGGCGTAGTCAAATTTTCAATTCGACGTTTCTTCTTTCGAGTTCCATCATCAACTTTGTTTTTTCATATAGACACTATATTGCGGAATTTTGCACATTTAAATGGACTTTTCAGTCCCAAATTCAATGATATATTCCCTTAATTGGCTATGAATTTGTTGTTAGATGAAAATTATAAAGAAATAAAAAAGTATGGTGAAACCTGAACACAAAATGCAAATTTCATTGATGGTAATAATAATAAATAAGCAAGGGTGAATCATAGCAGATGTTCAAAATGTTGTCCGTTATTTTGTAGACAAAGTCTGACTCTTTCCTGAAGATTGTTCACTGCCCGATTTATTTTTTCTGTCTTCCAAACTCTGTTGCCATGCCATGGAAGACTCGTCTGGTATGAGAAACAAATGAAATCTGGTAGTTTCCAGGCCTACCTAGGAACTTCTGTTTTTCTGGAATAACTAGAGTTTGGTAACGTCAATGGATCAATTTTTGAAATCAGAATTAAAATATATAGTCCGACACCCTATTACTAATAATTGGTAAAGACTACCAGGAACAATTTTCCTTACAAAAATAAACATCTGTGTCACTGTATCTGAACTGAAAATAACAATCAGCTGGCAACTGTTTAGTACTCCAGTATCAATAATAGAAACTTTGAGACTTCACAACGTTCAATAATTAAATCAGTGACAAACGGAATAAACGATATGGCGTCGTCGATATCTAAAGTAGTGAATAGGTGCGAACATGCTCAGGAAGATGAAAGCTTAGGTATTTAACTTTTTTTAATTTAACACTAACTTGAATATGTCGAATAACATATAAAATAACAAATAACTGTGTAACATGGTTGTTTATGATTCACCGCAATTATTGTCAAAAATTGAAACCTCACGTATTGAATTTTACTAACGTTTCAGCTGCGCAACAAAAAATTTTACTTCACGATAAATTTCGGTGATCAAAAATCGATTCCATATTAAAGTGAACGGTGAACCTTTAACGTCTTAAAGTGAATCTCTTTAAATCACAGTAAAACGATAAACCCAAAATAAAATTGACAATTACCCATCTCAAATTATCTAGCCGTTGTATTAACGCTGAAATTAGCAGTACTTAGTTCACACTGCAAGCGACTGAACACATTTTAATAGCACCTAATTGGCCTGAATACATGTTTAATTTCCTTGGTCGGTGAAATAGTAAACTGAATGAAACCATCTTGCCAGGAAATGGATTTATGGCGCTACGCGCCATCTGATGTGCTTTAGACTTTCTCGTAGTTGTAATTGCTTACGCAATATTATACAATGCGATTATATCAAAGAACCAGGTGAAAACACAATTAACAAACAAAAAAAAAACAGTAATATGCAAGTATTGGTTTTTTCTTCCTATTTTATTAATCCAAGTGATATTAAAAGCGACCTCGCAGAAAGAAAAAGATTATATGATGTGGTGAGTGGTGAGGCAGCATCTACAGATTGCCAAAAATTAAAAACAAAATAGTTACATCAACTTAGACTATCTATCGATTAAAAATTAATTGTTTATTATACTCCCTATAATATTCTATAATATACAGGGTGTTAAATTTTTGAGCTTGATACCAATAAAATATTTTTTCCATAGAACGCCCTATATTTCATATTTTTCCACTTCGTGCACGAGTGCATTGTATTGGGATTTGTACACTTATAGTCTAGTTCATAGTGTATTAAGCGAATTATTGCGAGATATGCTGGACAAAAGCGACAGGGTGTTTCTCAGCGGCTTGTAAATACGAACCTAAGCACGCAGCTTTTTTATAATTTAACCTAGGCTGTATCTTCCCATGCATAGGATACTTATTTGGACACCCTGTATATAACTCGTCAAAAGAAAGATGAATTGTTTATAACATCTTATAAATGTTGATAGTAAAATAATAGTTTATTTCATTGTTGCAGATCTGTCAAATTGCCAGTTGATGCAGGTACCAGACGCAGTATACCACCTCATGCGACACACCGAACTTAAAACCTGCGACCTCAGCGAGAATGACATCACAAAAATCCCGCCCAAGTTCGCAGAGAAGTTCAACCTCATCACAGATCTCAACCTGTCCCACAACCAGATGGCCAAACTTCCCGACAACTGTCCAGAACTCGGCAGTTTGGAAAGGCTCGACATCTCTTACAATACCTTTATCTCAATGCCAGACTGTATATTTAAGATTCCGAAGTTGAGGTATCTCAATGCCAGCAATAACCATATAGTTGGTGAGTATCAGACATTGGATAAACCTGAAATTACCACTATTACCACGGTACTGACACAAGTCAAAATGTGATAACAGATAACAGCTGATCACTTAATGACATAAAAATACCCAACATGGTCAAATCCAAATTATATTTGAATCAATATTGGGTGCAAGCATCTTTGACATGCATATTAAGTTGATGAACATATTCGAGTTTTCAGCCTGGTTTAACTATACCCTATTTCAAGAGTATCTATCACGCTTTGACGTCTACTGAGGTGAACAGCTGATCAGCAAGTGACATTTTTTTGTTACTCTACAATCTGCAACGTTGGCAATAAATGAATGGGGTATAAATCTAGTAAAAATTGTTTGTGGCGGCACTGACAACCTGGCGTTGACGGATCCGTCAGAATGATGTGTCATGTGCCGATATGGGGAATTCTGAGATATTACTAGATAATCAGCTGTCATTCACCTTGATGGATACTCGCGAAATGGGGTATATATAAACATTGAATAACCTAAATTGAAAAGATATTAATTTCTAAACGTTAATATAAAAACGTCACTGTCTTCTGTTTTCAGATCTAGACGTAGACTGCTTACTGAGCGCCCCCTGCTTAGAGACTGTGGACCTGACCAATAATCCCCTGGCACCCAGGATCCACGACCAATTGTCAAAAATCACCAAAATCAGGATACTCTTATCGCCGAGAGAGAAAGAGGACTGGGAAGATCTCACTATTTAAATTATTAGACTATTTATTGTGAATTTTTCATGTCTTGAACTGCCATTTTGGATATGCTCATTAAGGACAAAAAGGGAAGGATCGGAAGTATTTTTATAGATAGAACCATTCATTGCATATTATCAGTGTTAAGGCAAAGGAAAATGGTTGGAGTGTAGGACAAAAACGTTTCAAAAATATGTATGAACTAGGGGCTCGACATTTATACTGTATTTTGTGCTGAATGATCAATAATGCGACTGCTTAAAGTAAATACTGTAGTATAGGCTATATGTGCTGCATTTAGATTTACAGTTATAGCTATAGCATGATTTCGATAGCCATTTTTAACTTTTTTGCATTTCCTGAACATTCATTTCATATCACGGCTGAGAACAAACTAAAATGCAATCTTACCGCTCGTTAATGCAACCGATTAATTAAAATATTCACATTTTGACTAACATTCTTTAACGCGAAACATAAAAAAGTTTAAAAAATATACTACTTGATGATATAAGACATGTATGTCATCAGTTCAGAAATGTGTCATTTCAATAACACATTTACAAACATAAGATTGTCAAGAATAATTTTTTATTTACTGCTATATAACGTATGCATAAAGGTCATAATACCACATCTGACAGGAATTACTAACAGATATTAACTTACTATATTTTATTGAAGGAATGAAACATATCAATGTTGGATCATGTTTTTGTTCGGCATCATCTTAAACATCAGAATTAAATATGATACAAATCAAATTTAAACAAATACCTACGAATTTGCATGTAGTAGCTTAAGGATTGTATCACTAACGATTTCACCCCGAATGATTCATACTCAGTGCATTCCTCAGCCAAGAAATATCACTACCAACATGCTTTTTATGTAACAACATATGCTATCCTAGATAAAAATTTGCCTGCGTAATCAAATTATTGATTCTTTTGATATTAATATTGCGTTTTGTGTCCTACATATAATCGTGGTTATCACGTATATCCAATTTTAGTTGAAACGTCAAATTTTTCATTGAAACAAAGCAGTTACGACAATTAGTAAATTTGAATGCCAACCTTAATGCTGAATAGATCCTAAATTGGTACGTATAGTTTGAATTTCCCGGGTACATTTATGTTGGTGACAGCTCTGTGCTGTGACATTGTCGCAAAGCTTTTGCCAACAGCTGTTGTTTATTGGTGGTTTATTTTCGTTCTTTTTGTATGAATATTTGCATTGTTATTTTATAAAAAAACTAGGTGTCCTTTTAAGCATTTTGCTAAAATGCCGAAACCTCTGGGTGGACAGTCCGTAAGAGAAGTATTAAATAGAATTTATACTAGCTCTAGTGTTTACAAAAGATACGCTCCGTAATGTTGGTTGCGGTAAAGCCTCGAAGACATAAAGTAGATTTTGTAAAACGTCCTAGGATCTAGTAGATTTAATTAATGTGGCAACCGTGTGCGTCACTGTCATTATCTGACGTTGTGACGTAACTGCTTTGATTCCGTGAATAGACTGCAATTGTTTTTTTTCCAATATTGTCGCATGTCTCAAGGCAACAAAGGCGCTGATTCTAAATTGAAGCCAGATATCAAGCGCATCTTAGTCTATATGGAAGTATTTTATATTTTATTCAAAGGGTAGCTGGGCTACCTAAAAATTCGTACTAATTGGAGTACTTATTTTCAAGTACTTATTTTGTGTGAGAATTTTTGTACTGACTTAATATTGTATTATATAATGAGTAATGTGTTGTTTATATACTCAAATGTGACATTTTGTATAGATTTGACATGGATATTGGCAGACGCATCTAGTCATACTGTGATAGGGATGTGATAGATTTGTATCACGCATCTTTTTTTAGTGATTAGATGTAAACCATTCGTGAAATGTCAAATAAAGACTTTTGAAATAAAATGTTTTTTAAATTATATCCCCATTTTACTAAAACTAAACCTCTCCCGTTACCTGTAGAATACACACTTGATCATAACTGCAGGAAGGAATAATTCTTATAGGTGTTGTTTAATGTATACTAAGTGACATATAAATCCGAACACCCAGTTTAAATGGTTTTATTTTAATAAAATTTTGTATAAGTACTTAATGAAGCATAATAAGTAAATGATAAAAATTTCAAAATGATTGCACTGCTTTAAAGCCCTTTGACCTTTAATAATGTGTGGATGCACCCTGATGTGCTACGCATTCTCCAACGCGCCTAGGCATGCTTCTGATCAGGTGGTCAATGTCCTCCTTTGGTATCTCATTCCAGGCAACCACCAACTCCTCTCGAAGTGCTTCTAGAGTCTGAGGAGGACGTTGCAAATTGAGCAATCTCCTACCGATCATATCCCACACGTGCTCAATTGAGGATAAGTCGGGAGATCTTGGTGGCCATGGTAACAATGTGACATCATTATGTTGAAAGAAGTCTATTGTGACTCTTGCAACATGTGGTCGGGCATTATCTTGTTGGAAAGTTGGATCTGCCAGGGTGTCAAGATAGGGTAAAAGATGGGGTTTTAGAACTTCGTGGATATAACACTGCGCGTTCATGTTACCTCTGATGAAGAATAAAGGTGACCTGAAACCATAAGCTATAGCACCCCAAACCATAACTCCAACAGTGTGATGAACATGCCTTTCAACAGAAAACTGTGGATTCCTCCTTTCACCACGTCGCCTTCTAACCCTGGCACGACCATCGTGCATGCCTAAACAAAATCGAGAGTCGTCACTAAAGACAATATTGTTCCATTCCTGCTCCCAGAGTGACCGTTGTCTGCACCACTCAAGGTGATTACTCCGGTGTTCTCGAGTTAAAGGGAGGACCCAGTGTGGCCGGTATGAATACAAGCCAAAACTTCTCATTCGTCGGTAAACACTTCGCATGAAAATAGGTGTTCCGTGTTCTGCAAACCATTCATTTGCAATGGACCTGGTAGTGGAGAAACCGTCCCTTAAGGCCAATAATCTTAGGCGGCGATCTTCACGGTCTGTTGTTCTACGGCGGCGTCCAGTCTCTTGCTCTTTGCGTACGGCCTTCTCGAAGCCATGCCTGACAACACCTAACCACAGTGTCTACACTTCTTTGCACTCTAACTGTAATTGCCCGAAAAGAAAGTTCAGCTTCCCGAAGTTCCACTATACGGCCCCTATCAAACTCACTAAGTTGACGAAATCGTACAGGTCTCCGTACTCTAGGCATCGTAACCGATCGTAAAGGATGTCAAGAACCAAAATCCGCCAACGTTGATTCTTTACTGCGGCTGAAATATTCATTTTTAGAGCGTTACCTAGTGAATTAAAAAAAAGCAGTATAAAAACCGGAATGTCCAACTGATAAGGCTGAAAATTTTTCACTTGTTATTTACAGTAAGATAAATACATTCACCAACTTTTATTAAAATAAAACCATTTAAACTGGGTGTTAGGATTTATATGTCACTTAGTATATTCAAGAATAGTCAAATAATGAAACCAGAAGTATTTCCTAAATGATTGTCAATATTTATTGTAGGTCCATTTCATGAACAAAGATTCACTTATTAATATCTGTAAATACCACTTTAGATATTTGAAAGATATTTGGCATACATACATATACTATGTATCAAGAGGCGTTTTTGATGTACTGCATTTTTTTTTTAATTTCCACCAGTAGCGTTCGAATGGAATTTTACGTGCCTATTCTGGCAGACATTGATGATACGCCGTTGGTTTCTCTTAAAATAAATTATTCTTGAAACCCCCAATGGTGTCTAAACAAATTTGATCCCTTGATTTTTTTCAATCCGATGCACGGTTTTCGCTTAAAAGATATCGCCAATATTTGGTATAACAGATTCGCAGTCCTGGTTGAATAGGAACTGTAAAAATGAAAATATTTTCCATACAATGTTATCAAACAAGCCCACATTAAAAACTCACGCAGAAGGTTGGTTTTATTCAACATCAAAAAGCATAATAATTAAAAAATCTCAATAATAAATATAATTTCTAATTATACAAAATATATAACATTATATCACACAGCTTTACAATTAATAATATTCACATTTTTATGTAGCTCCTTAAGCCAGGCGTTTATATATTATACCTTTTGTCTGTCCTAGTGAGATCATATCAAGTAAGAATATTATATACAGCGTACTATTTGAAAGTATTCGAAGCTGAAACATTGGAGTGCTAGTATTAGCTGTCATCTGGAAAATGAGCATAAATATAACTTTACTGTAATGTTAAAATTAGGGTTGTCACCTATTACAGTTTTTAAATTTTTCCTCATATTAAAAAAATCAACAATCTGAACTCAACATGAAGTTGCTCTTCATTATTAACCAAGTGAAGGTTTGTCACATGGTATAGTTATTTTCGCAGTGGTTCAAATGATTGTGTGTATAACTCAAAAACAGTAGGTCTTTGTAATCAGATACATATGGCTCAGATGGAGTTTACCATCAGCCCCTAAAAAACGTGTACTGAGCTTCAAACACCCTGTATATCACAAAACATTCCCGTTATTATTGTAGAATTTCCATTATCTAAAGGTGGCAACCCTAGATGAAGTATGCCTTCACTTTTATGATTCAGATATATGCTATCCAAATAAATAAAATTCCCGTATTTCTTTACTTTTACAACTTATATACTCAAAAAAGAAAATATGCAACTTGCAATATTTTGTTTTGGTAGGAGTCTCATAGTCCTTGAAACTTTAGGCATTTATTTATTGCGAAAAAATCGCCTGCCTTCAGTTAATCCCGCGCCACTTCTACAAATACTTGACCTTTTCAAACCATTTTTCTTTTAAAACTCTGAGAATTCAGTATTTCATCCCGACCAGCACCACTTTTGAGTTAAAATGGGTAGGAACCCACATGGATATTATTCTTAACTCAAAACATTAAATAAAAGGAATTCTCACTTATCCAAAACTTTAAATTGTGATGAAAATCACATCTGACTATCACAGCGATATGAAGGAATCAAATGTGACCGCCGCGCCGTGTCAATTAGACAGAAAAGTGGTATTATTGTTATTCACACTCTTCTGTTATGTTCCTTCAACTGCAATTGTGTATAAAGAACGATTCTCAGATTTTGACAAAAAAAAACATTTTTATGGCATGGATAGAAAATAATAAAAGACAGTTAATGATGATCTTACATCAAATAAATAGGGTATGAGGGATGTCTTTTAAGTTTTGCATATGGAAATAAAACAACACGGTAGGTAGTTTTAAATGACTTTATTGTTTTTCAAAGTATTATATTATTATTATAATTTTCGAAGCACTTATTCCAATCTTTTGGTGGCAGAACCAAAACGGCATTTTTGAATGCGTCAACTGTTTCTTCTGGTGACTGGAACCTTTGACCACGCAGTCTGTTTTTAATATTCGGGAAAGTAAAGAAATCTTTAGGACTTAGATCGGGACTATATGGAGGATGGTCCAATAATTCTACGTTTTCTTCCGTCAAATACTGCCTTGTTTTTTGGGCTGTGTGCGTGCTTGCATTGACTTGGTGGAGGATGATTCTTCTTTCGGGGTTGACAAATGGTGGTATACCAATCCGCAGTAACAGTTCTTTGCTCATTAAGAGGAATTGTTGCAATATGACCCGCTTTTGACACAAATGTCGCGACCATCTTTTTCGAAACACTTCGAGAACGGATGACTGTTGGCTTTTCTTCACCTTGGAACACCCAAACAACCGACTGTCGTTTATTTTCTGGTTCATAACAGTAAATCCACGATTCATCACCACTAACAATGCTGTACACATTTTTTTAGTTTCCGGAATTGAAACGGTCAAGCGTTTTTTGACACCAATTAACCCTGGCTGCTTTCTGCTCTTCAGTCAACAGGTGGGGTATCCAACGAGAAACTAATTTTCATACTCCTAATTCTTCATGTAAAATTTTTTGAATTGAGGTCTTTGAGATCTTCAAGGACGCCTCAATCTCGCGATATGTCACATGTCTATCTTCAATGATGAGTTTGCGCACAGCATCGACGATTTCCTGGTGCACCCACCCTGGGATCGTCGCTAAGACTCACCCGTTCACGTTTGAATTCTCCATGCCAACGGGAAATTGTCGACTGATGTGGCGCTTCGTTGCCGAAAACAGACTGTAACTGAGCAAGGCATTCTTGTTGCGATAATTGTCTCTGAAAGTTGTAATAAATTATGGCGCGGAAATGTTCTTGGTTGAGTTTCATTTTCTAATGACTTGGTGACACTTAAAAATTCACAGTCGTGAGAACAATGCAAGTATTGTTGTGAAACTTTGAATTTAAGTTTACTAAAGAGTGAGGTTAAGATTCAGTACTGACGTTCGATTCGCGCGGCGTACTATGTTTCAATATGCAAAACTCATCCCTCGTATGTGTTCAAAATGGCTGTTTTCCGCTCTTATATTTTTCTGCATGAATAACTAACAGCTTGCTCAGAGCTGAATTCAATTCGGAACTCAATTCTTCTACAAGGCTGGCTCAGCTTAGGATAGAAAGTATTTGAAGCAGCCCCAATAAAAAAAATGATGTATCAATACTTTATGCATATACTATATCAGCATGATGTGCAAAGTTATCAGTAGAATGCAACCAAATTTATTTCCTAAATATTGCCTTATTCAGAGTGTGGCATCCTAAAGTGTGAATGTTGACTGCATAGAAAATCCAGATACGTTTCTTACTCTTAATTAGATCAATATCATTCTGGATGATTTATACTCCAAGATAGCAGTAACTAAGGCAATTTCAATTATAAACATTAAGCTTAGCTGACTAAAGTGACTTTGTTTCAAAATTGAACCAACCTCAAACAGGCTAGCCGATTAAGATCTCTTATGAAATTTAATAGTTTTGAAATTTATTATAGAATATTCTTCAACATCATTCTTGTCCTCCTTACCATAAAATTGTGTTTTTTGTTATATGTGAAATCCAATGTAGTATGTAAATAGTAATACCATTTAGAAATTGCCGATAATCAACTAGCTTTTTGGACTAATTGGCAGAGTGATAATACCTGATTATCTGATAATATGTATCAAAGAAAAAAATACTGAATATTAATTGTGGATGTTTTATTTATAGAAATGATAGTTTAAGGGAATGCAGGCCAGTTTTTCACAAAAAAATGAATGCTACAATGCTCAAAAAACACGAGACTTTATATAGTATGTCATGGTGAGATCTATTTGAGACTGAAGGATTATCCTTCATTCTAGGCACCATGTATGTGATTTCTGCTTTATAGTATTAGGTACTCATCTACTGCTAAAACTATTTCCAACATACACCCTACCTTTCTTAAAGCAACAACTTATTGCACAACGTGACATTTTACCTTTTTACTATGATAGCTGATTTTTGTAAATGTAGCATCAAGGGTAGCATATTATCAGAATTATTGTTACTTACCAACTGGAAACCAACACACCAATGGTATTGGATGCTATCTCCTCTCTTCTTTCCTGAACAAGGTGGTAGAAACATCAATGATCAGTATTGGCAGCATAATCCAAACTGGTATCAGTACATGATAAACTTGTAGATTCAAAAACTTGTACTCTAATTTTAGGCACAGCGTAATTTGTGCTGCAACTTTCAACAAGACTATCACTAGCAGTAGAATGTTTTCATTCTTGAACAGGGTCCTGATGGTCTCATGCTTGCAACGAATGAAGACGTTAAAAATAGCGTTCATGAGTAGGATGAGGTCATATATCCACATGGGGACAAATATGAGGAACCAGTTCCAGTGGGTCCGGGATTCTAGCCGAAGGCATAACAGTATGAAGAATACCAGTAAGATGAACCAAGTGAAAAGAGCTCTGTGCATTACCATTGTTCAAAACCGCAAATTGCATATGCTGAAAATATTTTATACTCAATCTAAAATCTGAAGGTAGATTTATCTTGTCGCCTGTACTTACCAAAGTTCTAAATTTATATCAGGAACAATTGCAAAGGCATGTTAGGGTCGTTTGACCATCAAAGTTGTATCGGCTAATTTATTGGAATAAAATTTAACAAAACCCATTCAAGCACAGACTCAAATTTTTCATTATATTTTCGGTTCTTTCCCTTTTTGGGTGTTTGGTTGTTTTGTTTTGACAACTTCGTGACATGTCAATGTCAATGTCAGTGAGGCCTAGGGATGGCAACGATACATCGATGTATCGAAGACATCGGACGTAGAACATGTTTAGGCATCGATGGTTTTAAGCCCGCCACTCACGATCCAACCCTCCAGTACGATTCTGTCGAATGCGATTGCTGTACGACCACAAGTACTGCGAGAGACGACACTGGCAAAAATTAGGTTCTATCAACGCCAACTTGAGTTCTATGCGTTTGGTGGGATTCCTGTTGCGGTGTCATTTAGGGGTTATCCATGGAATGTTTTGACACGTGACCACAAAACAGTTTTATCAATACAAATCATTGGTCCGAGTGAAGATAATATGGCCACCCAAGACAACTATTGAAATATACTCTACTAGAAGACATTTTTCTCGAAATTGTTGCACACCGCTTGAAAAATGCATTTGAAGATTGGAAAACTGCCGCTTTGACGTACTAATTGACTCCGTCGTTACCCCGGGATAGACATACGATCTTGTCATTCTTGTCACCTAGCTTACAGCGTTGCCAGCTCATCGGACAATTTTGCTACCTCTGCTATTTTGCTAGAATGTTATAAAAAAAAAAAGAAGCTTTGGATAAAATATTGAGGGATACCATTGGAGATATATAAAATTTGAGACGTAGCAATGACTGCCAAAAAACTAAAAAAAGCTGTTATTTACATTATGCGTCGCCTGGCATCTATGCGGCGGAACGAAGCTTCTAACAAGTGGAAAAAACAATGGTTATTATATTGGGTGATTTTTTGCTAGTATCTTTTTGGCAACACTGTTTTTGACAGATGACGCGTGAATCGTGTCTGTGTCATTGTCAAACTTGTTGAGTTTGGTCTATAATTTAAAATTTAACCATGAATCGACTTACGAACGAACAACGCTTGCAAATTATTGAATTTCATTTCACTATCAAAATTCATTCTCGGTTATGAGAGTGCATCGAGCACTGCTTCCAATTTATGGGCAATTTGGTCGGAATACTGAAGGAGCTATTCGGAAGCTTGTGACAAAATTTCGAACCCAGTTTACATTATTTGACATTAAACCACCAACACGCAGACGTAGAGTGAGGACTGAAGAAAATATTGCGGCTGTATCCGCCAGTGTTAGTGATGACCGTGAAATGTCGATTCGCCGCAATTGGGCCTCTGTTACTCCACTACGTGGAAAATTTTGCGACAGGATTTGGGTGTAAAACCTTATAAGATACAGCTGGTGCAAGAATTGAAGCCATACGACCTCCCACAACGTTTCCCATTTGGTGAATGGGCGCTGGCAAAGTTGGAGGAAGATCCTCATTTTTATCGAAAAATTGTGTTCAGCGACGAAGCTCATTTCTGGTTGAATGGGTACGTTAACAAGCAAAATTGCCGCATCTGGAGTGAAGACCAGCCAGAAGCATTGCAAGAGCTACCAATGCATCCCGACAAAATCACTGTTTGGTGTGGATTATGGGCCGGTGGCATCATCGGGCCGTACTTCTTCAAAGACGACAATGGCCGGAACGTAACTGTGAATGGCGAGCGCTACCGTGCGATGATAAACTTTTTTTTGCCCAAAATGGAAGAGCTGGACTTGGCTGACATGTGGTTTCAACAAGACGGTGCCACATCGCACACGAAACAATGGCCCTATCAAGAGGCGAGTTCGGTGAACACTTTCTCACGTTTGGGGCCCGTCAACTGGCCGCCTAGATCGTGTGATTTAACGCCGTTGTACTATTTCTTGTGGGGCCATGTTAAGGCTAATGTCTACAGAGATAAACCAGCAATGATTGACGCACTGGAAGCCAATATTGCAGCATTGATTCTTGAGATACCGGCCAATATGTTGGAGAGAGTGTGCCAAAATTGGACCATGCGCATGGGCCACCTAAAGCGGAGCCGCGGCCATCATTTACATGAAATAATCTTTAAACATTAAATTATATTGACTCAAATAAAGATTTAATCGTTTTTTCCAATTTTTTGTGTGTTTTTTTGAAAATCAAATCCTATACCTCTTAAGAAATCACCCTTTATAAATATATTTATTACACGTTGACTGCCATGTGAGACCAACGTGTCACCATAGTAAAATGAAAATTCTGGCCGCACGATTCCTACGTGGACTCGCACTGGCAGAGAACACATATTGCTGCATGAAGCCACAGTGGTTTCCTAACTGCCTTTGAATTACATTGTATCGATGAATAGGCGGCCCAATGAACCAGTAGAAACTGTTGGCCTTTACTTGTGTGATACCACTGTGGACTCGCATGACAAAATATTAAAGTAAAAGTCGAAGTGCTAGTTTTCATTGGTCTTACTTCTAAATAATAATTTCAATTATAACAAATCTTTTAAAAAGAAAAAAGATAAACAAAACGAGAACCTAAACATGTGCACTGAAAATATGAATTAATTCTGGTACAAATGTGAACCTGAAAGAAACAATCTAAGCAGTAGTGCTTTTCGCAACATATGCATTTTAGTGTCGTTTGCAGAGTTTTACGCATAGCAAAGTTCCTTATGACCTATGAGATTTTCAATTGTTTGTTGTATATTGGCAGCATCGAACTTCTGCACAACAGCTTCCAAAGTTTCAGAAAATTTAGAAGTAGACCTAATTTCAACTTTGGAGACACTTGACACCCACGTCACAGCACTAAGAGCCGTATCGTCAGTCATTCCTACAATTGTAGGACGCGTGTATGGCCTTCTTGATTTTCATAGTCTTTTCTCTCGTTCAAAAATTTCTAGATTGCACCTGTTCCGTGTGAGCATCAGCGCTCTCCTATTGTGAAGTTTTTTAGGAAATTTCAGGCTGATAAGACATCATATAACTCAAAAGCATGAACAGTTTGATGCAAATAGATATTTGTGACATAACCTCAAAATAGAGCGCTGACACGGAAAAGTAGAAAACTATGAAAATCAAGGAGGCCATAAAGGCGTCCTACAATAATTGTAGGAACGAGTGACGATACGGCCCTAAAGCACCGCCAAGTCACAAAAGAGAACCTTATAGTGAACACCACTACTAAAAAAAAGTAGCTAAATCGAATAGAGCTCTGCACGGAGCTGTGAACGTGTAGACATTCCGCTCCGCCGAAACTGATGAGTGTGAGTGCAGTACCTCGCTGCGGCGATACGCTCCCACACCGCGCGTCTGCTACCGGTCAACGTAAACATCGAGTTGCTATCGCAAATTTCCAGTGATGTCCCACAACTGCATAAAAGATTGGAGTATCATGGAAATATCATCACACGCAGTGTTATCTATTAATTTTTTTCCAAGGATGCCATGATTTATATGTCAGAAAATAATAATAATGAGCTGGATATTAGTTTAGTATGATGGGCGAAGGCTAAGAAAGAAGAACAGCAGAACTTTGGAGCATCGTCCAGACGATACGACTGCAGTCAACCATATCCATATGATTAAAATTTTATGGTGCATAGGATGTATGACAAATTATATACAAAGATTCAACAGACATACAAGCTGCATAAAATGTTTAACGAAATACGTAACTATTTTATTATCATAAAAATAAAACATTTTGAACGTGTTTTACATAAAGCGCGCCATTTACATGCATTGTGAAAAACATACATAACTTAAGGGTAACTTAACTAATCATTTTTATACAAGTAGTAGAATGTTCGAGGATAAACTATGAACAGAAGATCATAAAAGACTCGAAGGTGTGTAAATTAAAAAAGTATACAACGCAATTAAAACTAATTTGAAATGTTTTCTTCCGTACAATAGCAAAAATAAAAGACAAACCTATACATTCTCTAAGTTAGCTGTGCAAATCTGTCATGCATCTTAATATTTGTCGACACTGGTGTTACTTCTTCTATCCAGTATGTCTCTGCTAGTGAGTTCTGTTGCAGTTCCATGATTTGTTGTTGAATGTCATGGTTCAGAATCTGTTTATGCCTCCTATATTTAAATTGTGGTCCACGCAGCAGGCTAGTGTTATTTACCACTTCAACCTGAAAAATAAACGGCGTCAAGTAGATGGACTCATCACTTCCCACGCCTTCGTACAATTTGTAAGGCTGTTTTCTTTCTGAATTGCAAGAAATTTCAGGCTGATATAAATCAAAAGCATGAACACGGAGCAGTAGAAAAGTATGAAAATTAAGGAGACCATAAAGGCGTCCTACAATTGTAGGAACGACTGACGATACGGCCCTAAGGCCTCTTTATTCACATACACTGTCAAATATGGAACAACGCAATCGCAGCCTATAGACAAAAGGATAATCCGTGAAGATCAAATTGACAGATCATAGCCAGATAATTATCTATACCTTCATTCATCAGATTTATTCTGTAAATTTGATTCATCAGTTGTAGATTAGACAAATTACTTCTAGCCATAATAGGCTAACAACTGCACTAGAACATGATAAAACAAGCTGTGTAGATGTAGATAAAAGTGGAGGTGTGAAACTGCTTATTAAAAATTAGAACTGTTATATCTATTTTACTTAAATTAGTATGTATACCTTGAGGTTTTGTGGTCTAGACAGCAATGTTGTGGTAGGTAGCATACGTCTTAGTCTAATTCTGTTTGTTGGAGTAGAGCTGACAAGCATATTATTGTGAGACCTTATTTTGTTCAATCTCTCCTGTGCTAGGTTTACCCGCGTTTTTCTCATTCTAATAGTATTATTGACTGTGGATCCTACAAGAATAAAATAGAATAGACAGAACAACAATATACTTTGATTAAGTAGCCAAGGTTTCATTCATTAATTGAAGCTACTGCCATATGGTAGGAACAAAACCTCACTTGTGATTGGTAACTGCCAGAGATGTAGAAATCTTGGCCACAATGTTGGGTAATGATGTACTAAATAGTGATAACACCCCATACTGAAGTACTCTAAATTATAACCAATTCACCAAATTTAATAAAAACAACTAGAAGTGTTGGCACGCAAAATACAAAACACGTTTCTGAAGTTGAAAAACTTGAAACCTGTCACGAACTTATCTAGTTGGCAAACTTTGACATAAAATAAAAAAATTGACATTAATAGTAAATGAGTTGTAAAAAATCAAAACTTGGCAATAGTTTGCAAAAGACAAAAAAATCAACAAATAATTTGGAAAATAAGACTAGTGGGAATAACGTATTCAAAACAATCTGAATTAGAAATAACCACTGTCAGCCTGTTTATCCCATGTTTAGGGACATAGCAACCAGTTGTGAGAGTTAGCAAAAAACAACAAGTTGAAAAAATATTGAGTTATTCTAAACTGCTAGACTACCAATTAAGAAAGAATATTATTAAAACACCTGTGAACATAAGCCTAAATAACTCGTTGAGTTGATAAATATCAGAAGTGCATGACTAAAAAAGTCGGCAAATATATCAATAAACTTTTGAATATCAAAAACTGTGAACTAATTGGTTTTTGAAGAAGGTAAAGGTTGGTACAAGATCTGTAACAATATCTAATGAAGTATTCTATTTTGAAAAAAACGGCCTAAAATAGTAAAACGAATAAAAAAGACTTTAGCGCATATCGCAAATACTTAATTTCTTACTTTAAAATGAAAGATTAGGATGTAACTTTTACGAAAATATCATTTTTTCTTTAAGGAACCCTCTGCTTGCTATTCTATAGAACTTCGAAGTTGCATTTTTGTTGGTAATACTCTAGAATAGAATACTGTTTTAAATGCCGTCTTTTTTTGCTTTTTGTACAAAAGGATGCTCTAAATTATAAGAATATAACATACATTGTATAGTACTAAGGAAAATAGATGTGAACTGTAAAAAATCGTTGTTTTTTGCAAAAAAGGTTCAAAACTAGACGTGTTATTACACATTAGCTTAAATAACATCAAAATACATACGTAAATGATGGTACTTAACTTGGTAAACTGTGTAGAGGTGTTGTTTTGTGATTTTTCAATATATTCTCGAAATTCTTTAACCATTTTTTTCGCGTATTTTCAATGAGATCAAAGTTTTTGCGTTTATAAGAAATATTTGAAAGTACAAACAACCTTCAATGGCCATTTTATAACGCTCATTTCTTGACAGATAAGATAAATGATGTCCATTGTTGCCAAGTTGTATCTTTTTTGGGAGAAATACGTAATTAAAAATGAGGTTATTTGCAAAATAAGCCTTAATTTATTCTAAATGGCTTGTTTTAAGAAAAGTTGTCCCAATATTTACCGAAAGCTAGATGAAATTTTGAACAGTATGTGTCTAAACAGTGGCTCGCGTGACATAAAAAATACAAAAGACACCAGCGGTCATTGCATATAAAAATACCCAACGTCGATTCGCCAGGTCCACCCAACATACCATCGTCCAACATTATAGTTAAATAAAGATCAACAATCATATCATCAAATCATCAAAAAACTTGCAATGTTCTTTGTTATGTTTCCATTATTTAGTGATTTGTAACAGCTACTTTTTCAGTTATTTCTCATATATATCACAATTAATTAGGTACATTTTGTAACATCAGCTTCACTTTAAATAATTCTTCAAGTACATACATACAACAAGTAATAGATAGATTATAACTACAATATAAGAAAAACAATAACCGTATTTTTGTGAAGGGCATAAGGCATTCTTCAAAAAAGTCTATTTAGCTAACGCTATCGTAGGGCACAAGGTGGATTAAGTACAGTAAAACCTGCCGGACACACCTCCAAATCGCATTTTCATGACAATCCTGTGCTGATTGCACATTTTTGCGCTAGTATATAAGTAAGAACTTGACAAACCAAATTAAGGTATATTACTATCCATGATCTGGCAACATCGTAACTAGATGGAGAGAATATGACAGTGAGGGTGGTGTGGTGATGGGAATAATTATCTGAAATAAAAGAAATGGCTACTTAACAATGAACTATTTTCATCATTAAAATAATGCAAAATTGCATTATTGCGATGAACAGTATCACAGTAACTTACAATGTATGTTAAATTCATATAATTTTGAACAATCTTTTGTATAAACAAGAAGAAAACAGCTTATAAAGCAGTATTCTATACCACAGAATTAGCACCAAAAATGCAACTTTGAAGTTCTATAAAATAGCAAGTAGAGAGTTCCTTTAAGAAAAAATGATATTTTCATGCAAGTTACATCCTAATCTTTCATTTTAAAATAAGAAACGAAATATTTGCGATATGCGCCAAAAAGAGTTGTAGAAAGAATGTTCCTAAAAGTCTTAGACTCGCATCTGTTCAACTTCAGCTGTCTAATAAAATATTGGGTTTGTTTAAAACAAATATACCATCAAGATACATTCAATAATCCTGACTCAAGAAATGTATTACAGTAGATCTATGAATTGAAGTTATGACATTCATACTATGCTAATCTTCTTTCTTTTTTGACTTTTGTACTCGTCAGTAATTGCATCTATTTTCTTATTAACCAGACAAATTGTGTACCAAACACTAGTGTTTTGCTTGTCTCCCCAAATGCGACAATTTTGTTTATTCACGAAGCCGTTTAACCAAAAATGAGCTTCACCACTGAAAATTATTTTTTTGACAAAATTTGTATCTACTCCCAACTGTCCCAGAGCCCAATCAGCGAAAGTACGATGCGCTTTGTGGTCTTGGGGTTTCAGTTCTTGCATTAACTGGATCTTATATGGATACCTGTCCAAGTATTTTCATAAAATTCTCTGAGGTCGCAGAATACACGAGAATGCAAGGTGCATTGAAACAGTATGGCTGTTGAGCACTACTCAAAGTAACTCTGCAGGGCCACTGGATATCAGCTCAGCATGATGGGAAGTACCTTTGACTGTCTTTGCCTGATAGGTGTTGCCACACATTGCCATACTACAACAATCATTTAAACATTTGTTACATTGGGTTTTAGCATGAGCCAGACAAAAGTCAAAATCAATGCCTAAACAATAACCCAAAGGCTAAACCAAAACTGGAACCCAAAACGAAGTTTCAACCAAAACCTGAACTGTTTGGGTTGTTTCATTTTCGGAAATTCTATTGCTACTAACTGTAGAGTACTGTACTGGAGATGTGCCGTCACATTCATTTCTTACCTGTACCATTTAACAAAGTGCCATTCAACCTCCTGAGCCTCAGTTTCGGAGGTAGAGCGCTTGTGTTGGTTCCACGGGGCATAAAGCCAAGTCTAGCCTTTACAGGCCTCTTGAAGTGATCCCTGTTTAATGGACTTACACCAATATCCTCATTTTTGCTATAATAAGCTTCCTGAGCCCTTATCTTTTTTTGGATATTTTCTTGCAAAGGTTGAAGGTTTCTTTGAATGATATCTACAAAACAAAGTCAAAATACAATGAACACAAAAGATGCGTTGCACTAACAAGTGCATTAATTTGATGTTTGATTACCCTCATCTACTGCAGTGAATACATTCGGTTGCGGTTTCAAGCGACGTAATTTGACTTTTACTGGACCTTGACCTGGAAGAAGGTAAAAAATTAAGCTACAATTTCTATGGTAATCTAGAGGACTTACGTGCTGACATAATTATCATTTGCAATTGACGATTTCCGATTCGAAGAAGTACTCTTAACTAGAAAAAGAAAATACAAAATGATGCAGCTGACAGTTGATAGACAGATGACAAATGAAAGCCTTGTGTGCAGGAAGCTGCTGTTCTGTGTTTAAATGTCACTAGTCCGCACAACTAGTGCGGGGTACTCTTCGCAGTCGATTTACCGAATTTCAACAATTCTGCGAGTTAGAATTACTAAGTATTTACAATGTCCATAAACCGTGTCTAGCCAAACCACTCAAGCGCTTAGCACACGGTATAAACGGGCATTTGCACTCGGAACAACACCAGTTTCAAGTATATTATCAGAATTTATACGGCATTTACTTGAAGTATATAAACGGTAGCATTTACCTCGGACTAGGCACCGCTGATTATTTGTGTTTCGTGGCGAGTATTCCGTATTACTGGTTGCATAATGCGTTTTTACCTTATAAGCAAGATGTGTACTAGGCACCACTTTTATTTGTGTTTCCTGGCGAGTATACCGCATTACTGGTTGCATATGCGTTATTACCATGTAAGCCGGATGTCAGAAAAGCGGTAAAACTGGTTGACATTCAGAAATATTTTCAAAATTCAAATGAATTAAGCACGAACATGTCGCTTATTTTAAAAAACTTGTGCACGAGCAAGTGAAAGTATGTGGATCCTGTGCGAAAGACAAGTGTTCCCAGGCTCTTAGGAAGTCCCTAGATGGTCTAGGTAAAGTACCTGATTGAATTTATTACTCTAATATTCATGTAATTTATTGGAACAATTTTAAGATTTTAAGGAATAGTATGGTCTTTGAACATCAATGGTAGCTCTGGTGGTGGTGATAATTTGTTTGGTGGAAGGAAAATGGATAACATAGTTTTCCACTCTGACAGATTTGAGGTATGACGACTTTCTATACATTATCTAGATTTTGGATTCCAAAATAATATTAGATACAGGGTGTCCCAGAATTCGACGTCAAGGCCAAATCATAATATTTATCAGAAAAATATAAAAAATTCCAAGATGTGTACTTTTCAAACTATAGGCTTTACACACCCTGTGATGTTCCTTTAGTTCTCATTACACAATACGAATTTCATCTTTTTTTAGACAGAGTATCGGACGGTGTCATTATACGTATTGACAACAAGAAAGATATTCATCCATACATATTAATGATTTTATATTGGAAATTCATTATTAGAAAGGACCGATAAGTGTAAACTTCTACGGAGTACGCGTCGATTCACTGCCGCTGGACGCTGTAAACGGCGGTGCGCGTAACCTTCCGTACCGTTCACTTATCTGATGTATAGTATCTATAGATGAGAACGTATCTGGTATTCGAAAGCATTGCAATTACAAAGTACTCCCTTCTCACAAATGTTCGAACTTATAATTCTGATTTTAGATATTGATCGATGTTAGAGGCTTTCGTCCAGAGGATATAAGTTGCAAAATTTCACCGAATATGGTGGAGGTGTTCGCCCAGAGACAGGAAACGGCAGACGTTGTCGGCCGCATCATCTCTTTATCCAGAAATTATCAATTGCCCCAAAATGTTAGACCAGAGAATGGCGACTGTTATCTTTCCTCGGAAGGTGTGCTATTGGTCACAGCTCCTTGGCAATAATGACAGTGAATCGATTATAAAATCCTTTTATGCAAGTAATAAAAAATACTGAGCGCAGACGCTGAATCACGTGTATTTTATGAGAAGCAAATATAAGTAATTCCCAAAAACCTTTGCGCATCGATGTAATCTTTATAAAAAGTTGTTTTCTGTGTAAAATTGCCCAACGACACCTCAAATTTTTTCTGGGCATATTAGAATTTAGCGCCCCACGCCATTTAAAAAAGCACAACTTTTTCTGAGGCTTAAAAAAATATTACATGAAAAACTTCATATTAAACCCTGCAACTTTTTATACTGCAAGGTCAGATAAAAAAAGTTTCGCATCTTGGAATATAAGCTTGGTAGCAAAACAACATAATCATAGAGATGGGAATCTTCAGGTGAATACAGCTTCACAAAGGTGTAATTTGAATTTTTAGGAAAGGCTGTGTGCTAGAATACTGCAAATCATTCGTGATTTGAATACTTTCGTCTGGTCCTTTTTAAATGATGGCGATTGTGGAAGAGAAAGGAGGTAATTTTGAAGAGTTCAGAAACCTATCTAGAAATATATGTAAATACAGCATCTATTAGCATCTTTAGATGTTAAAATGTAAGCTAATGCACCTTGATATCTAACTGTGGAAAATGAGGGACAAATTCGCGAAATTTCAATTTTTTGCATTAAGAATACATACGTATCGATTATCAAGAAACAATCAATCATTACTTTCTTAGAATCCTATGTTTTTGATTATTTTCTGACGTTTGAACCACCTCAGTGCTCTTTTTCAAAGTATAAATAAAGAATAATATTGACAATACATTTTATATCTATCTGTCTTCCATGTGACAATTGAAGAGTTATACAGGGTGTTTCAAATTCGAAGCTCACCATTGGGGTCTCGGAAACTGAGAGATACGAAGTCGCTTAGACGAGGACAAAATTGCGTGCTTAGGTAATCAACCAAACGCCGCTTAGAAAGTTCCGAAATTCAAAAAACATTAAAAAAACGAATTTTCCAAAAATCGTTTTGATTTTTTCCCGACTTTATTTGTCGTGGGATTTCACATCAACATTGCCACCTTTTCTCCTCTACAAGATGACATAATTAGAATTTCGATATGACGTTTCGTCTCTTGTCCTCCATCATCAACTTTATTTTTTTTACTGAAAACACATTGGATTTTTGCACTGATGAATAAAGTTTTTAATTCTGATTTCAATGTAGAAACGTCATATATTGACATTGCTAAACTTTAGTTATTTCCAAAAAAAAGAATTTTCTAGGTAGGCCTTGGAATTATCAGTTAGTCATTTGTTTCGTATACCAAATTTATCCCAAAATCATAATAACAATAATAATCATAAATAAGCAGAGGTAAATCATAGCAGATGTTCAAAATGCAAAGCCTGACTCTATTCTGTACAAAGTTCACTGCTTGATTTATTTCTCTTCGTCTTGGTCTTCCAAACTCCGTTGCTATGTTCAATTTAAGGTCTGGTCTGGTATACGAAACAAATGAAATCTGATTATTTCAAAGCGTGCCTGTTTCATCTGGTATATGAACAGTGTGCAGTACATATGTAGAGTAGATCCCAACGTTGTACAAGTGAAAAAACAAGAACTGAATATTCATGTTCCCAAGGAGACAACAAACATGCGTTTTCCGACCAATTAGTAAGCGTGATGCATCTTCAAAGCGTAACAAAACCGATAGTTAATTACATACTGGCTTGTGTGCATTCTGAAATTGCTTTTAATTAGAGATGTCTTAATTTGCCATTGTTTTTCCTTGCAATGCCTTGTTGGGCAAGTTCGCCGTGTTTCTTGCAAAATTGTCGCATAAAAATTAGTATGGATGAAAACAATGTACCCGTATATAGACGGTGTTTTACCAACAGCTTTTACACCTGGTACGAACAAAAGATTATGTTATAGGCCTTAATATTTTTCGAATAATTTAGATTCTAACATAGCTTTCCTAGAAAGTGTCTAGATTCGCCGCTGAAAACGACTTTTTAAATCAAGAATTCTAAACTTTTCAAGTGGGAGACGTACTTGTATTAAATAGAGGATACCTTGACGTCACTGTTAGATCAGTTAGGTAGAAATTTGGAGAATGCCATCACCTCTGCGAGAAAATCAATGACAGCCGTCCACGGGATTAATAATTATAATAAACCGTCTTTTATTAAATACAAATTACAGATAATACCATGTATCACCTATAAAAAAATAGTGAGCAGCTTAATGGCGAAGTTTAGTCCTAACAGCTATCCTTAAACTTAACCATTAACTGCATAAAAATATTAGATGTTAGAAAAGTACAGCTGTACTACACGTAAATTGAAAGGACGACAATGCGCTGGAAACTGATTACAACCTAAACAAATCTTAACAGAAAAGTATGATGCTGGAGGAAAACACCTTCAAGAAGTACCATTAAGCAGAATATCTTTTATATGTTCTCTAGAACTATATAGATGCGGGTTTTTTGTTCTATAATCTAAGCTATTTTGAAATACACACGCATTGTATAGGTAAGAAGCGCTATTAGCCAATGCCTAACGTTTAGTTATCAATACATGTTAACAAGAGCTATTTAAATACTGCATGTACAAAATCTAGGAATTTTTATCAAATAGTTCATGATCTTATTGATAGGTACCATGGTAGGTAGTTTAAAGAATCAGCTGTTAGCGACAGTGAAACCCGTATTCCGTTGAAAAACTGTAATTTGATGAGTAGTAACACCATTAATACCTTGAGATGACAGTTGACTGATTAACAGGTGTTTATAGAGAAGCGATTCTTTTTTTTTGTAGATGCTTACAAGCTGGTATAGGGTGCGGTACCATTATAGTTCTGTGTGGTACCATTTTTGGATTCATGTCCTTTACAGTAAACAATGATATATAAGGACTTGTAAACGCTCTTCAATTCACCATGCAAAATGTTATTCAGATTTTTTTGTTACTCATGGAGGTAATTTATATCTACAATTTAGAGAAGATTCTCAACCAGTAGATAAGTGCATACTTCTAAAAAAATATACAGAATGTGGAAAACATTATGCATACCTAGAAACAGACTGTCTAGTGGACGTATGAACTTGAAAAGAATCCATCTCGATCTCAAAGATATTTCAAGTACGATTACGGAATCTGACTGTAATGTATGTCAGTTTCAATCATTTAAGCATATAAAAATTACCTGGAGTTTCAAAATCTAGTCGAGTCTGAAAATAAGAGGCAACAGAACAATCATTTCGATTACTTCTCGGAGCGCTGTCGCAATAGACAGATCCGTAATTGGTAATGTGGTCGATTTTGTTTTTGGACATGCGATGTTGGACAAGATTTATGTTCCATTTCTCGGAAGTAGACAGAGTTAGAATGAAAAACAGAAACATAGCGGGTACCAGTGAAAGACTTTAGGTATTATAGGTCGATGAGTAGAGCTAAGTGGGGCAAAATCTCTTTGCATATCGATAGGAGCGGTCCAGATTAATGAAAGGCCGTCAACATGAGAAAGGTGTGGGATTGTCTACCACCGCTCAGTTCAATATTTTTCAACTGAACCGCATCAATTAAGGTTAGAGTTACCAGAGCAGTAGCATCTGAGAGATTTTTATATCGGGTGTATCAGAAGTAAAAGAACGACTCTGTATTTTTTTTGAAAGGTGTTTTTAAGTCAGATATATACAAACTTTAAAGAGGACTTTCAGCGGTGACCTTGTATATATTTTATTTTTTCAAAGTGAACTTTTTGTAACTGGGAATCCCTTCTCCTTGACTCTGGCATTGAAAGATTTTAGGCTCTAATACGTTCTCATATAATATTATCGCATCGAAAGTGAGGTTCGAGGTTTTGCCAATGTTGAAATTGAAACCCTTGTTAAAGGTAAGAACTTGATTTTTTTCATCAATGATCCTGCTAAAATTCTATCAATTTTCCATAGCTTTTCACATTTTTGATTTTCATTTGACTTTTAGATGTGACCGAAGATGGTTATGTTCAAAGTTATAAATTACGATTTCCCACATTTTTTGCGTTTTAAAAAACTTTGAGAAGCATTATGAAGAATCCCCACCGTGCTCGCGTTTTGTGTACTTAACTACATTACAGAAAAATTAGGAATGACACATCACGCACAAAACATTTTCTCAGTGCCTCACATCTAGGCACTGATTTGAATTTTCTACTTGACAACGCAATGTATATTTCCATAAAATTTAAACGAATGGTAATAAAAAATAATGTAAAATATAAGAACATTTTCACGTTTCATAAATACTCCTGTTTTTATCTGTCATTTTTGAAATTCAGCACATCTGCATACACCTGAAGTGAGTATATTTAACAATAAAGTGAGGGAATTATCATGTTTCCTTACATCTGTAGTATACAACTTACAGCTTATACCTCCAATGATGCCATCTCTGAAGCAAATGTTACATCACATCAGAGTCAAACCATGACAGCTCAAGCGTCAAGACGTTTAGGCAACAGGTACAGCTACACAACGAGTGCACACCAAGTGAACAAGAGCTAGTTGCAAGTTGAGATCTTATAGGAAAACCAATATAATCTCGCTAAAAACCTAGACATAATGTCACTTTTCAACATAAGTAATGCCCCCGCAGACTAGCAGATTGGTCAATATTGCAATATATCGCAATATTGTAACGATATCTTAAAACGATTTCAACAATAATATCAGGGAATATCCGATACCTCAAAACCATCCGGAATTAACAAGTGCTAGATCCTGAGAGTTTCAAACTCAATGCAAATTCATGTCTTTGATGCCATATATGTGGAATTAAATTTTTATTTTATAGACGTGAGGTATTGACTGAGACTACCGAGAAGAGTCACATGAAAAGTACGTAATTATTTACATCGGTCACTGACGTGTTTTTCTGTTATAAAGTGAAAGGTCTCCCATAAACTTGAGATTATTAGTTTATTTTACAGCTGCTCACTGAATTATATAGATGACAGTAGTTATTGATGTTGGGCTACCGATCTTTTCATACGAGGTTAACTCCAAAAGCTCCAGCATATTATACATTTTTGTGTAAGTATGTACAAAAATGAGCTATCGAAACTGCAAAATT